ATGTCTTTGGCACAAACCTCACACTCAGTAGCTTGGGCTACCATGGCGGGGATCGTAGCTCCGAGGTCCTCTTTTCTGTGGCGGCTAGCCTGCTTAAAATATACCTCTGCCTCGCTCGGTTATCCTTGCCAGTGTAATGTGAACATGAAAACTGTAGCGTGGTCTTATTTGTCAGGTATTGCGTTTGACTTGTGCAACTCCGTCATTCTATTTTTAGTAGTTCGTCATGGTAACTAATAATGATTCTAAAAATAAATATATAATGACGTATTCACGAAGCAATTTGATTCGTTGAAAAGTTTGTTGTAAAAGAATAAACACTGAGGGCGCAATTCAACATGGCTACAAAGTCAAAACCTGATCGCGAGCCCGAACCACTCCGAATAGACAGAAACAATTGGTATTTTGAGCATCCTAAGGTACAACTGTATGATTTTTTTTTCGAGCGTAGTCAGGCTAATGCAAATTTCAGCTCAACCATTGGTTGAGCAGCCATAAAGACAACCTCGGCTCCGATGAAGCGATTAGTATTAAACCTGCTTGTCTCTACATAGCCCTGAGTACAGTCCTGTAGATGGGCCTCCTTCCGCTGATAAAACGGATTTGCACGGTGAGGGCAAATGGACAAATGATCAGTGGGAGGAGGCCAGCCTACATGACTGTACTCAGGACCAGTCTTTACATAGCCGTGGTTTCGCAGCTCCAGGGTCACAATTTGTTGATCGGATTATTACAAGGATGCAACCATGTCGTATAATGGTTAAAACTGGTAGCGAGTGCATTTCAAATAAACTGCCCGAGATATCTGGCCAGAAAACAAAAATACAATGAAAGTTTTTCTCAAAATGTTTTGGTAGACTACTTAATTAACACATGCAGATTAATTTCTATGGTTATAAGCTTTCAACTACACAGAAAGTATGATGCATCAAGTTTTGAACTGTATGGGCAAACTGTTGAGATAGCATGCTGAAAGTAGTTCATTGGTATTCAAATTAGCTAATTAACATATGCAGAATAATTCTAAAGTACAGAATATTTAACTTCACAAGCATGTACGCATGTACTAAGTTTATCAATTTGAGCAATCTTTTTATTAGGTTATATCAACAAAACATGCTGAAAGTAGATCATTATGCAAACAACCTAATTAATATGCATGGCTTTGTGCCAAAATGTAATCAGGTCTATAGTTCATCATAATTATCTGTGTACCAAATTCATAAGATGGTTGAACAAGATTTGATACACCCATCCTTGCAGACAGACAGGCAGACATAAGTATGACAATGGTCTCAATTTTGTGCTCTGCACATTGGAACCAGAAATCAGTAGTGGTTGATATGGTCTGTAGTTGATACAGACTTTAAAACAGCTTGATAACAGATGATAAATTACAATTGTTTCATTTCAAATTTCATAAAAATATTTTTTACATTACAATTTTGGCAAAATACTCACACAGATTTCATTCATATCCTTTGTCCTTTGGCTAGTACAATGAAATCGTGTCATATGGTTTTCAAGACAAAGTACAACAACGAATTGCTATGTTGACATATTTGGATCTTTGTGAAGGTATGTATTATAACAAAAACACATTACCAAATATAGGACATAGTGCGCTGAAAAGCACATCATTGCTTTAAGTCTGACTTAAATGACTTATTATTTGCTCTTTCTGAATAATCCTAGATGCAGAATGTTTTAATGCTTTTAATAGCTTTTCAGCCAATTTGAAAAATAATTTGTTTGGTGGAGGGATGGGAAATGCATAACTAATGGGATTTGGTGAAATTTATACTGAAATTGATGAGTATCTGTGACTCATCAATGTCCCTGAATGTCTATGATGATTTATAAGATGTGACATGCATAACTCTCAGCACCTTCACTCCTGAATTAGATTCAGAGCCAAATGTACTTCAAAATATAACAGTAAGCCAACAGTTAACAAAATTGCAGTGCATTTCTGCTTGGAAAAATCTCTTGTACACAAACACCTTGGTAAACTGAAATCATCATCCAACTCGGGAACCAATCAGCAACTGCCTTACAGTTGAATCATAAATGCTGTGTGTAACGAGGTGTTCATATCAAAATGCTGAACGTGGTCAAATTTCATTAATGGTTGACCTAATGTTTGGCTGTGAAAGTGCATCATAATCAAGCAATCCTGCTTTGCTGAGCATTTTGGGGGAAATTGATACATGTCATTTTCAGATCAGATTCAAAATGGTCAACTGCTATTCCACAGCCATGTCCAAAATATGCACATGCTTTAGTTTCATAATCCAATTCAAAATGGTTGAAATATGCATCAAAATCAATCATGTAACTAGATGATGGGTATAACCCCACCACCCAAAAACAACTGCCCTGGGCAGCTGAGTTAGGTCTTCAAGTATTTTCTTCTAAATCTACTTTATTTGCTCTATATGTAGTAGTGCATATGTATCGGGTATGGTTAAAAAAAGTAATAAGTATTAAAGCGAACCTAAATGCGGTCTTAATTTATAGTTGTGTATATTCTAAACTGTATTCGAAATAATATTGCAGTGGTTTAATTTTGTTTTAATTATAACTGTAGCATGGATAGGTATTTGAAGTGCTTGCAATTAAACACCATGGAGGCCATTCATGGAGGGGAATAAATAACGAACGAACATATTTAACATCCGGGTACTTTTCAAAGCTACCGGTATGACGTTTTAGTATCTGATCGCATTCGTATACGCCATTGTACATAGCCGTTCATGCTGCCAAGCATTGTGTACTAGTAGTATAAACTCAACTTTTATATGCACAATGTGCTTTTTAAAACTTGGGTCAGAGCCTTATGCATTTGAACCACAGTATTCTGAGAGTGAAAGCCCAATTGCATTAAAGTACCGTACTTCCCAGATCGTAAGCCCCTCCCGAGTAAAAATCCAATCCTTATGTTTTTACTTGGTATTTATCGAGTTGAGGGCATTCACGATCACAAGCCCAGAGTGTTTTTACTGGTCGTCGACGATATTCTTTAAAATATGTGTGTAAAAGGTGTGTTTCATTCATAATAATCGTGATTGGCATGGTAGTTTGGTTCATGCTTTTAGTTTTATGAGAAAATGCGCATTAATTCCAAGTTCAGAGTGCATGGCGAACGTACACAACAAGGTTCGCATCCTTTCTATTCTGTCATTTACTCAGAATGTACCCCGATGTTGCAATTCTGGAGTAATCCATATTTTTTTGAGTAGTAGCTTTCGAAAAGCCAAAAATGTGATCGTTAAGTCGTGTACCTGGTTATTGGGCATGGTTTACTTTGAGACTATCATGAAAGGCCTAGGGTGAACGATGAGACATGTTGGCGACCGAGAAAGGTGTTTAAATTCTTCCTCCACACTCAGGTTACCCACGGTTACTATTAACCGTTGTTTATATTTCAGAAATTGCGAATCGCCAGTTTTTAGGGAAAAAAATCATCATTTTTTCATTGCAATCAGTGCTCCAGATCGCATTTTAACATTGCGGTAATTCACTTCCGCATTCCGTTAAAAAATCATCATCAATAATCGGAAAATTTCATCATTACGACACATCATTTTGATTGGTTAATGAAAGACATGACCTGTTATATCAAAGGAAGTTGTTCCAGGTCAAATCGTGCTGAAAAAACTCATGGTGGAAAATTGCTTTGCGTTGAGAGTTTGCGTACGATCGAAAACATACCAAAACGAAGATAATGATAAATGCCTTCGTTCACTGTTTCCTCACAGACCCTACCCATTATTTCACCATAAATTCAGACGGTATGTAAATCGTATTGTAATAAAATGTGTGTGTTTTTTATGAACATGTTTGTTTCTTCGTTGTAAGTGTCGTTCAAATCAATGACACATTTTTTTCAAAAATAAGTATTATTTTCCTGAGCCCGACGTGGTGAACGAATATTTTTTTTTATAATTTTTCGTTGTTTGCAAGATGGTTACAGTGTTTAACCCCAAAACAAAATCATTTTTTTTGAGTTGGTCCTCGAGTACAAGCTCATCCTTTACTTTTCCCTTACATGTTCATGCCTCCGGGCTTATGATCAGGGAAGTACGGTATACTGTGAAGATTCAGATCAGTCCAGTGTGAGTGATGAGAGTATATCGTCGACAATACCCCTTGTTCGGATGATAGTTTTATTTCAAATTACACGGAAGTCTGTGAACAATCTGCTTGGTGTTCCTGTGACACTTGTCCCATGATTTGCCAGTGCAGCCCCGTGAATACATTGACGAAAATGTTTCCACCACCACCCTACGAACTCAAGATTGCATACTCCAGCATCCATACTTTGAATAATTTGCACGCCCGCTCAGTGCAGTACTAGAAACAGCATTTATTAGACAGTTAGACAAAAAACAAAACAAAATGTCTGTCTCGATCAATCGCACATCAATAATGTTTGTATGTTGATACGCTTGTATAAAATAACATTAACGTAAAAGTCGAAACAACCTAGACTAGAAGTCAATTCACCAGTCCAGCCAACTATGGCTCTCTAAGTTGCTTATATTTAATCAGATACTATTTCGTCATCATGCTTTGTTACCTTACCTGTTTATACCTAATGAGGGCGTTTTTTTATGGCAAGATGGCGCAAACGGAAGTCCTTCGCAGGTTTATGGTTTCTCATATTTTAATCATCATAACTCTGAAGATAATCATTTTTTTTCATTTTTTTTTCAAATTTATAATCAATATACATAATTTGATAAATACAAACACCAAAATAGGCTCTATTTAATGGTCAAGTATAAATAAATGCAATATTTGGTTTATATGCAGATTTAGAGCCTGAAGGAACATACTTTAGGTTTATTTACTATGCCATAACAATAGATAAACAGATGCAGAGTAAATGCAAGCTACTCCATAACAGGAAATAGTTTTGTGATTTGGTGTCAAAATAAACTGTTGGGGTTTGCTTACAGTATCAGTGCTCTCTCTTCTTTCATTTGTTCAGTTAAGAATTGGTTTAGTGTTGATGTGCATGCCTGCAGTGAGCTACAGATGGTCTACTTAGCAGGAGTTGCTAATAAGAAAGATGAAGTGCAACATATTTTACCAATCTCTTCTGACATGCCACTTTCAAACCAAAGGTACATTATTTCATGCATAATTTTCAATGTTCCGCAGCAGATCATAGGCTAGTACTGATCAGTGATTTGTTTTCAGACATTCATATGCTGGTTGGGAAAAAATATAAACAAATGATGTCACCGTGCGATGATTTATTAGAATGTGGAGCCTTGGGTTTACTGTGTGTGTGTGTGTCTGTTCTTGCAAACCACTCATTGGTTACAAAGTGATAATCTGCATTATTATACATCTGTCACCCTAACGCCATAAGTTACAGCATGCCGTAATTAATGTGGTATTTTACGGTTATTTTCATCCTACCATATAAGAAAATGCTAATTCCAAATATGGAATGATTACGTGCGTAAGCGTCCTCTAATATTATAAACAAACATGGCTGCCACCAGGGTTTGACCGAACTGCACACAAAGAAGTTCGCCGATTCTATTCTAAACTTTTTGGATTTCGACATTCCCATGTATCCTTGGAAGGAAAAGATGTATAATAATAAGGTGATTATGAGGATGTCTCAAAGTATACACTCAGATTGTACGCCATCGCATTGATCTCCGCTGCGCATTGGTCGATACTCTCGCTGTACTGTCTTCGTGCATACTTTCTGGTATCCTCGTACTAACCTCATATTATTCTTACACAGCAGTCTATAACACTGATTATTTTTAGTGATGTAAATTTTAAATATCTTAAAACCATGTAATAATAGTGAGGTGCAAGGGTGGACATGTATGTAATGTAATAATAGTGAGGTGCAAGGGTGGACATGTATGTAATGTAGTATTTAGCAGTCATATGACCAAGTCACATGATTTGGGCCAACTGCTTTCAATAATGACTTGAGTATTATGATTTGCTCTGTAGGTTACAACAATTTATAAAACTACTGAAACCACATAAATGTAAAGAAGACCTGTCACCTTCAGGATCCAGTGATGTCATCACAAGCAGTAAACACAGCTTTGTTCAGCTAGCTGTAAACGACTCAGATTCTACTATTGTGTATTACAAAATATCAGATGAACTGATTCCACCCGATCCACCAAAACAAACACTGCTCAAAGAAGTTGGCAAAGGCAAACGCAGAAAAAGGAAAGCAATTTTGCTACCCCAGCAACCAGATGAGCCTGTGACAGATGATGAGAATTGGGGAGATGAACTTTGACCTCACAGTGCTTGCTGATAATCCAAGGATGATCGAGATCTAAGGAGCAGGTGGTCGATTTCACAAAGAATTAAATTTAAACTGAGTGTATAAAAAGAAAGATGGCAACCGGATTTCAATATGCAAATTACATTTCATGGTGATGCATCTCAATGGAGTGCTCCAAGAAATCCTTTATTTCAACAGTCAAAATGCAATGAGTTTTTTTATTAACTCATAAATGTTCGATTAGATTTGAACGCAAGTTTGACATTT